TTTTTTTTTTTTTTGGATACATACTTTAACTTCTTTAGAAAGTTATGTGTGCTGTTCTGAGAATCTAGTGAACTAAGTTAAATACATTTTCATTTATGCAGTCTTCGTCTCCTTATTTAGTTTTTGCAACAGTAGTTACCAGAAAACTTTCAGAAAGTTAATTGCAGTTTACTTCGCACAAGAAGACTGTTCAACAGTTACTGCAAAAAAATATGGAGTCGTTTGCAAGGTAAGTAAGAGCAAATCTCTCAATAAAACATGTTCCAGTAAGCAGAATTTTGATTGAAAGTTGCTAAAAGCACTCGCTAAAAGTGTCAAAAAAAATGCTTAAGAGTTAAGTTGTAATTGATAGTTGCAAACCTGTAAAAGTGAAATTTCGAAAAACTATTGTAAAATGAAAAAAAAAAACAAATATAACCATTGTGTTTAATAGTCAGCAGAGTTTGACATTAAGAGCCTACATTGACTGAAAAATAGATCAATTTTTAACTAACAGTTGATATTGATGCTGCTAGGTAAAAGTTAGTAGTTAGTAGGTTGGTCTATAAAAATCTGCCACTACAAAGGTTTTAAAATTCTTGATCATTTGTAATTTAGCCAAAAATTTTAAAAAAGATGATATTTGTTAAAGTAATAAAAACTCATTCTTCGCCCTTTTTACCGATTATATTTCTGCTTTCATTTGTAGTAGAGAAGGGTAAATCTCTAAAAGTTTTACTTTATTTTTAGGAAAAGTAACGTCTGTTGCAGCTATGTAAGAAATTAGTGAATGATTTAAGAAACTTTTGTTAGAGTGTAAATTTTATAAATGTTACTCGCAAGTTTTGCAAAGCAAACACTCTGGGTAAATTTTCCTATTTTGAAAACCATTGTATGAAGACGATTGTTGAAAACAATTTGCAATGGCCTACTCGTAATTCAGTTCTGCAATTAGAATTTCACATGGTCGCTCCGCATTTACGTGAGGTGTCAAGTAAGAAGAAGCTCTCAGTAGATACCATACGAGCTCGCCAAATTGCAGCCGTAAAACGTGCCTAGCATTACAGAATTCTTCCTTGGCACATCAAAGCAGAATGACCTGCGGGCCAGATCTGTATTTGAAATGAAAGCAAGTAGCATTTGGTAATTAAAGAAGAGCTAAACGCTAGGTAGATATTAGTCACTTCTTATTCAAATTTATAAATTAAACCTTAACGAGCTCAAAATAACAAACACCGTTAAAAGAAATGTTTGTGGAGTCATCCGTAAGAAATTCTTTAAGGTGGACGCGAGTTTTATCTGCAGAAGAATGCAGTTCAAAAGCAGAGAATAAAAATAAAAATTCTAAGTCCCTACATCAGAGACTTTCGAATAAGTAGACTGGCAAATTTTTAAACTTTTTAATGTAGCTGAAAATTTGGTAATAGCTATTATTGAAGAGTGACAGCAAAGAGAGTTGTAAAAAGTAAAACAATCGTTGAAAAATATAAGCCTTATAAATGAAACAAAAAAAAACTGCTAATTGAAATAGTGACAAAAAAAAGAACTAGACACAAAATGAAGTAGTGTAAGGAATAATTAAGAATATAACCTAAATTACAGTAGAACAATCAAATCGTAGCAACAAAAGAAGCCGAACTCTACTTTTTAGAATGTACAGCGAGTAATAAACATAAAAAAATGATTTGAAGCAAGATACTGGAGGAAAAATGCGAAGACGAGTGCTCAGAAACGGTTCAGAACTTCAGTTACTTTCCTCGCTGATTATCATCTTTTTGGCTCTAAATTAGACTGGTGGCCCCATTACGCTGATTAGTTGTAGATAGTACACTGTTCTTTATAGGCCCCACCCGTTGGAATAGAGAAATAATATGGATCCACCAAGCTAAAAGAGCTGCAATTCTTTTTAGTTTTCGGTTAATTATTAGAATAAAAAACTTACTTTGTCTAACAGTTGTTAAAACTGTCTACAGTATTTTTTTTGTTCGCTAGATTTGTAATTTTTTTAGGTAAATGGAATATCAAAGCTGTATCCTCGTTGGCAATTTTGCACTAATTCTTACACTTACTGCTTTAAAAACTAATTCTAAAGTGAAGTTATAATTTGTCAAAGTAAATAACAAAAATTTGCAAATTTTTACAGACCAACCTGAATTTACATTTAAGTTTTCAGTAAAGTAGCAATTGTCACAAAAAAAAAATATATTCTTTATAGAGAACATACTATGAAGTAGAATCTGAAAACGAATTAATTGTCGACAACGATACTTCTGCAGATGGTTAGTTTTCAGAATTGACAAAAACGATTTTATATTTGCTTTTTGTTAATGCTATAAAACGCTCACATAGCAGAATTTTTTTATTAAGCACTTGAACTAAATAACAAGTAATTAATACTGCAGAAAAAAACTTGTGAGGACATTTTAAGCGAACATCATTGTAGCTATCAAACTGTACACTTCAAAACAACTTTTTCAACTCAGACTGCCAAAATGACACTCAAATACAGTGA